ATCCTAAAACTGTTTGAGCACAGTAATCCTGTGCTGTTCAGGTCTAGGTTTTTTGCGTGTAAAAATAGACAATGCAAGGCCAGGAGAATGCATATTTTCCCATTCTGGTTAATGCCATGTGCCATCTGTTTGCAGGTATGTGCCCCCCTTGTAGACATGGGCAGTTTGCCGCCATGTGATCCACTACTGGGTTAAAAGCTTATGTCCCACAGAGAAGGGCACAGCATACAATTCCCCATTGAGACCCGTCTGAAGCACACATTGCACTTTCTGGGTAAGTCTGTGTGCTCTTCTTATATGTTTTTAAACTGTGAATGCAGTTTTTTTTTTATTAATTCTCTTATCCCTCAGTGCGACCATCTTTTAGACATGTGGGCACAATTTGGCATTATTATACCAGTTCAGGTGGTTGTTGATGCGCTATGATTCTGAATTGGACTTACTTATGCAGGTGCTGCATCCTAACCATGTCAGACACTGAAGACGCCACATATGAGTGAGTAAATGGATTATTTCTGTAGAATGGAGAGTGATGATAACAAAGTGATGCCAGCACAGATGGAATCAATTGTAACAGAAAAATGTTTTTGGTGTTCTGTTTTTTTCTTCTTTCAGAGGACAACGTAAGTCAGTTTGTCAGTTCACTGAACCCACATATGGGCAGCATGAGTCTTCACAGTTTGTTACTGAATTTTAATCACTAGGCTGCATATTCAGCAAGAAAGCTGCTTGTTGTCAGTAAGAAATTCTGGCTGACTGGATGCTACACAGCTGCATCACAAGACAAAAATGCATGAATGTTGTGATTCTGTTGCATGTATACGTATCAGAAATGCATTTATGTCCATGTTTAATATACTTGTGAAGTACATTGGCATAGCTGACCTCTGTTCTTTACCTCTTTTTGTGTGTACGGTGTGAAGAAGACAAGGATATTGTTGGTATGTACATTTATACAAACAATATCTATGAAAACAGTGTAAAATGTCTTAATGCTTCTACATGCATCAACCTGGAGAGGCTGGTTGCATCTTTTTTTGCCACTTTGTTACCTCCTTGACACACTTGAGCTTTGCATTTAAACATTCTTAGTCACTTAACACACTGCATCTGCTAAGCTGCTGGCTTCACACAGCATACTGTATTTTTGACATGTCATTGCCACTGTAGAGGCAGCTGCTGTCCTTGAGCTCTTCTGCCAGATTGACCTTTGTCCTCTCAGTTAGTCGTCTCTCTCTCTCTCTGAGGCTGGACATAGTTCACCTTGAATGAACATCCCAACGATCTATCCTTTCAATTAAAATGGTACAATGGGTTGCCATGAAAGAGTTAAGAGTTGTACCTCTATTTCTGTCTCCTTTGTGAGGCTGTCCATGTGGGCCACTGTGCAGCCCCGCTGTCCCTGAAACTAAGTAGCACCTGTCTCCCTCTACGTGGAGTAGAGTCACTGTTAGAGAGCAATGTAGGTCAGCTTATGTTCTCAATAGAGGACCGTAGGGAAGATAGTGGCACAAGAACAATACCCACAATGCCTGTAAGAGGTCCTCTAAATGCAGGTTGGCTTACCTTCTTTGCAGTGGAAAGAGGTTGAGTTACCCTCTGTGGCCGAAATGACTGCATAAAGGCTTGGTGTCACTTTTTCCCACAGAAGCCCAATGAGGAAGAATGTTGGGAACAAAAAACACAGAACTCTACTACTTTGCAAATAATACAATAGCTAAATGCAACTGTGGGAAAACTGGTGGAATTGGTATGCATTATTTTATAAATCTGATTTTGTAAATTATATTTGCACAGCTTCATTACAAAAAGGAATATTTAAATACATGAGTGTCATTTAAAAGAAGGTGATTATCCTTCCTCCATTGCCAATAACTGCATACATATTATTGAGGGAGTCGGTATACAAAAGGCTCCATTGGCCATTTCATTAAAAGGTTCAAATGAAATAGCAGGGAGAATATAATAAAGATTTAATTGTATAATGCATGTATAAAATTCTGTGCACAAATGTTTTCTTCAAATACTGTCATGATTTTGGCAGCACTGCCAAAATACGCTTGGATGGCAGAAATAATGTGGATCTAAATGCTGTGTCACATTGTTTGCTTGCTAACTCTACACACTTGCTTTGCACAGAAGAGGAGGAGGAGGTGGAAGAGGTAGCAGAGGAGGAGGAGGTAGAAGGTAGTACTGCTTATACTAATATCTGTTCGCATGGCAGCAATAAATAGATGTGACTTTTTTCTTTACACACTGTTGGCAACCATGTAGTCCTTATTAGTGTATATGTACAAAAGGACCAAATTGTTGTTGTCCAAGGAAAACCATGTTTCTCTAAAACCTCACCTTTCTTGAGCTGTGAAAAAACAGCCCTGTTTTCAGCTTAATGACAATGCTTTTCTCAGATAATCCAAAAGGTTTTTTAATGTTTAATTAGCTATATATTTACGCTCAAAGTGTCAGTTAATCAGAAAAAGTTTAAATTATTAGGAGATACATGGTTCTCACTAGACACTGTATGTATATGTACATAAGTCTGGGAATATAATGTGATACTATCTCTAATACCATCGTGTACCTATATACCTGCTGAAAGTTATTGGTGAAATGTCCATTTCATGTTGTACAGTGGTTTAAAAATGTCAGTTTAACAGCTAAATGTGAATCTGAAATCATGTGTGTAAAAGTTGATGAACAAGTATTACAAATTTTAAGTATTTTTCTTTTTCATTTAGCTTTTTCTACTAAGTAGCAGGATCAAGGATCCCTATAGTGATTCCACTAAAGTGAAAAAGTAAAGTGCCTCACTTACGTTATTTCTTACTCTGACACACTTTAATGGGTGAACTAATAATAATTATAATTATAATAATAACAATAATAAATTAATAATTGATTACCAAAAAAAAACAAAAAAACGAAAACAAAACATTTGCTATCACGGACTGGTGAACAAGTTTACTCTCTGCCTCTTTGTCACTGGGACCCAGGTAGCAGCTGATATAATCTGTGAAGATAATCTAAAGCAACCTTCTCTAAACTCTCAGAGAGAGAGACACGCCTGCATACCTGTCTGTCTAACACTGACAGGAGATAGTCACCTGTTGCCTCAGTCAACTGCGTTGTGTCAGAGGTTATTCCAACTCTATCATTATTGACAGCTGTCCCCTGCCTTTATTTTAGAGACCAACCAGAGGGCAATGTGTGAATGTGTCAATTAGCAATGATTGACATTGTATTACAACTTGCTAAAAAAGTTTATAAAAATGTGTACCGTGGTCATATAGTATAGTAACTCTGACATTAAGAGAATTCAGACTAATAAAGTTATAAAAACCATTCACAAAAAACATTGATATTTGTCAACACTAAGATACTGGCCAACAATAATCACTTAAATCAAACACATTTTTACAACCGTAAAACTCACAGGAATCACCTCTGACCCCATTTGTCTGAGCTCTCTGCAACTTAACTACATCCCTCAATGTTGACTTAGCAGTGACACTTTTCACTTTCAGCAGATGCTGCAGAGGAAAATGAAGGAGGTATGGACAGGTTATGTAAGAAGCACAGAGGTTGCTCGGTGTTTTTTTCATACATGAAATATATATTGTCTGTTCACAAGATTTTACCTTTCGTTTTCTTTTTTGACATACAGAGGATGCTAAACCCAGGTCAAAGTAAGAACAGAGTTTAAAAGTATCTATATAACCTAAATTGAAACACACTTCTCTGTGAGAGACATACTAAAATAAAATGATATGAATTTTTCCACTCTCCTCAGACCTGGTTTTGTGCCCGGCTTGGCCGCTCCCAAAATCCCAGAGGGAGAAATAGTGGACTTTGATGTGAGTTTATCCCAGGACTGATCAAAGTTACACCTCCAAACTGTCTTCTGGGCAGATTGTTGGATAATATTTCAGCTCACATTTCGATTCTTGCCATCATTTTAGGACATTCATCGAAAACGAATGGAAAAGGATCTGACGGAGCTCCACACTCTGATTGAAGCTCACTTTGAGAAGCGTAAGAAGGAGGAAGAAGAGCTTCTTAGCCTCACTGATCGCATCGTATGTTCATATCCCACTATTCTACTGCATATATCCCATGTTTAGTCTCTAATATTACCCAATTCTGTAATTAAATGTTGTCTTTTACTCTTTTCAGTTTACATGGTTTGTTTGGTCTGTAAAATGTCTTTTCTTTCCTACTTAGGAGAAACGCAGGTCAGAGAGAGCAGAGCAGATGAAGATCAGGGCAGAAAGAGAAAGAGAACGGCAAATCAAAGTAGCTGTACGTATACGTAGACAAACATTTACAGATCATAACTGTAAGAGAGACAAACCCTATGCTGTCAGCCACAGAAACATTTTAGAAACTGGCTTTTAAACATTTCAAAGTCCTACCCCAGGCCATTCCCACCTATTGTTGTAACATTTTGACATTTCTGTCTGTATCTCGGAGCTCTTTTAAGCCAGTGCGTTCAATATGGGATACAAACTAGTTACACGTGTCTGCCATTAATTGGTGTTTCTGTTTTTTCTGCAACACAGACAGGAAATGCATTGTTTAGTAAGAAGCAGGGAGTAAAGAGTAAAATGTTATCATTAACCCCATAGTTTGGGTTAGTTATAACATACCCTGGGGTGAAATGTATCATTATGGTATACATAATTGGTGTGTGTGTGTGTGTGTGTGTGTGTGTGTGTGTGTGTGTGTGTGTGTGTGTGTGTGTGTGTGTGTGTGTGTAGGGGTGATCCAAGTATCTTAACATAATATAATTTAACAAAATGTGCAAATGTGCAGCAACTGAATATAAATGAGTGTGTTTGTGCTTAGTTTTCTTGCACTGTCACAGTAGCACTCATAATAAAACATTAGAACTAACAACTTGCATGAAAAATATCTACATAGACACAATAAACATGTCATAAGTATAAGTTTAACTACAAAGCAGGCAATGCTATAACAAAAAAAATTAAGGAAAAATAATAACTTATTACCTACATTTTTTTTTTCCTTCTAAAATTTGCTGTGCCTGCCCAGGGTGCTACTTTTTCCCATGGCAAAAGGACTACACTGAGCATGTGCTAAGTGAATCAGGTCAAACCAAATACCATCAGCCATCAAAATACTGCCGATGAATAATTAAAGCTACTATCATTTTTTCCACCAGGAAGAGAAAGCGAGAAAAGAAGATGAAGAGGCAAAGAAGAAAGCAGACGATGATGCCAGGAAGAAGATGATTCTGTCCAACTTGAGTTTCACTGGATACAAGGTTATGATTTTTCTTTATCTTTGAAATGACATAAACACACACACATACTGGACAGCACATCACAACTTGTGCCCTCCTCCTTACAAGCAGACACAGACTGGGCCGAAAAGACAAACGGAAAGAGAAAAGAAAAAGAAGATCCTCAATGATCGACGCAAAGAGTTAAATGTTGATCAAATGAAAGAGGACAAACTCAGGTAATATAAAAACACAAACTGAAGTTCATTCCAAATACTTTCCACAATCAATTTCAGATAAAAGAATCCAGTCAATTAGCATTTTTTCTTTTTTATAATTTTTTTATTTTACTATAAAATGCTTTCACCGTCTTGTCCATACTGATACAGGGAAAAAGCTAAGGAACTGTGGGACTGGATGCGGCAGCTGGAGGCAGAGAAATTTGAACTCCAGTATTTACACACTAAGCAGAAGTATGAGGTAAGCTCTCTCTCTCTCTCTCCCTGTCTCTCTCGCAGTAGCTAGATGTCAGTAAACCTTTAAACACATCTTTTACACAGGTCACCGTGCTGAGAAACCGGGTCAGTGATCATCAAAAAGTGTAAGTCTTTTGTGTTGGATGCTCATATCACGGTGCACATGTGCCCTCTAACACAACTATTGCTTTGGTAAATGAAAAAAAAATGTTGTCCCAAGTACAGCATCATATAACTTCTGCATATATCACCTCTTTTCATAACTTCATAATCTGATATCTAATATCTGTGGTATGTAAAAAAAAAAAAAAAAAGTATTACGAGGATATAAAATCATAACAAGTTGATACAAAAAGGCAGAAAGTAACATTTAGGTAAGCAATAATCAACAATTACCTGCTTAGACTCATGAATCTGCCCTGATAGATACCTCTTCACCTATTGGCCTAAGTTTCCACCTCCTCATATTTCAACTTCCCCTCAGCTCAACACTGATCTCCATTAATTTGAAGCGGTGTCAGTAACAGACGTTTGTGCCAGCTGTACACTGGGCCAAACAGGACTGGGAAAACAAAAAGGACGAGAGGTGTTTCCACAAAGGGCAGGCTGGGGTATCTGAACAACATGCCCTCAGTCTCAAAGGAGAGACGGGCTGTAATGGCAACAGCTGAGAGATCTCAAAACTGTGGTGTGATATCATCTGTGTTAATGTAGCTCACAATAAAACAGTGATGGGCCCCTTCTGCCATCCTAATCTTCTGAATCATTCCTCCTGATGTCATGTAGGCTGCGCTGCAATGACGGCCCAGGCTGTAAACAAGCTTATTGATTGACAAGATATGGATTTTCCTGCAGAATGTGGCATTGGCTTTGCAAACCAGGAATAGTGTAATACTGTCACTGCAAACAAGTATAACTTTGAAATATAGCCTTGATTTATATTTGAATGTTTTATTTTTTTATTTTTTAGACATTACTAGCGTTTCCCGCACTAAATCTTCAAAACCTTAAAAAACAGAATTCTCATACTTTCACCTAAATTTGATACATTTGTGTATTCATAGGAAAGCTGCAGGGGTCAGGTACCTCGGTAGCAACAGTAGATAAAGATAGCGGTCAACTATTTGGTAGCAAATCCCCTTCCAACAGCAGACCGCTTTGGAAAGGTTTCAGTGTCTCTGAGGCC